TTTTTTTTTTTAACTCTTAGATCATGGAGATGTCTGCCAAGGGCATCAAGCCAGTGACTCTGGAGCTGGGAGGGAAGTCTCCTCTTATCATCTTTGAGGACTGTGACCTAGAGAATGCAATAAAGGGGGCGCTCATGGCCAACTTCCTGTCCCAGGGAGAGGTGCGTGGGTAATGCAGGAGGCTATAGGGTCCTTCCTGCCTGTGTTTACCAAACAGCCGCTTTTACAGATTCCTCCTTGTTCTCCCAGTGCATCACGTGTGTATTATCACACTGACATGCAATGCTTTAATAAAAAAGCGTGGTATAAAGCAACCATTCATAACTCCGTAAGACTGGATTCCTAATGCTAATGGTAGCATTATATAAGAGCACATAAATTAAAAATACTGATGTATGAATATTTCACGCGCTGCCATGAACAAAAATGCAACAAGTGTTTACATTGTGTCAGAGATTGCAGGTTATGGGAGCAACCTACTCATGGAAAGGTGTTTTTTAAGAAAGGTACGGTTTGGTATTATTCACTCAGATGTGCTGTAGAATCACATGATTTATCTGTCCACTGTCCATCCATTCATTATCGATAAGATTGTTGTCCTGGTGGGTTGCGGTATTTTTAGTGTAAAACCTTATCAGGTGTTGAAGATTTGACCTTTCCATGCATAACTTAACTTGCAGCAAATGTGCATGAATTAACCAAAAAACGTTTGCTATTTCCAGTGGGGTTTACACAGGAACAGCTGATCAATCAGTGTGCACCTGCAATCATTTTCAGGCCCAGAGTGGTGCCCATTCCCCACGTGCTTTAACTGTTTGCTGTTTGTGTTGTAGGTGTGCTGTAACGGCACCAGGGTGTTTGTGCAGAGTAAGATCCTTCCCAAGTTTCTGGAGGAGGTGGTGAAGAGAACCAAAGCCATCCAAGTTGGGGATCCCCTGCTGGACGACACCAGGATGGGGGCGCTGATCAGCCGTCCACACCTGGACAGAGTGCTGGGCTTCGTCAACCAGGCGAAGAAGGAGGTGGGGCTGGAGTCTCTGTGTGTGTTTGTGTGTCTTGAGAAGACAAAGGTGTTTGTGATACAGAAGTGGGTTTCAGAGTTCCCAGGCTGCTTGACCTACAAAGGCAGAACTGGTGACTTTTTTTAAAAATACATGTTTTAATTTATATAGAATTGTTTGTTTTCTAATTATCGAAAGCTACAGATGGTGCTGCAGCTTAATTCTGCCTTAAAGTTCTGCAGATGTATTATTGTTGGGATGCTCTGGGATGTAGATCTTGGTTTTGTTACTTTTATAATGAAAAAGAATTTAAATGAGATTACATTTAAATTTAGACTTTAGAATATGTTTATCTTTATCAGAAGGGGTGTGATAACTGTACAGAAACTTTCCTTCCTTCCTCTAGAACTGATTTTTATTCTTTTTTCATTCATCTTTAGACAGGTACCGTCTATTTCTAGACATAATAATGGCAATACAAATGTGATAAACTATTAGTTCTAATAAATACAGTGTTATATTGGTAAATATTATCCTCAGGTATTGTTTAGACAGTGATTTCTGAAACAGCTATATTATCCCTGCGTATATCAGGTCATGCACAATACCAGTGTTACACCAGATGTTCCAGTGTAAAGTCAGACTCTTTCAAGTACCAGATATTAAGTACACAAATGTACATATTATATATGTTTTCACTTTCCTATTGCAAAGCATTAAATGCAGTGTTGTTATCTTAAACACTGTTATGTTTTATTAACCCTTGGTAGGAGCTTAAGAAGGTTTCAACACATTTTCTTTGATAAAAATATCTAATGCTGTTTCAGATATAATATTATATTAACTGGAAGGGCAGGTAGACTCATAAGGACTGAAGCATATTGGGGTTTGCCGGTGTCTTAAATAAACCTGTCACCCTGTATCTGGCAATTCAACCATGTCCTCTTTTTTTTGGTAAACTTGGATTTATGAGCGAAATATTCATTTTCCATTGTACAGTTTTTTATGAAAGACCCCACCTTGTAATCCCCCCAAAATATCACAGAATTCTACAAGAGTAGTTTTTAAGTTTTTCGGCTCTTGACTTCCACCTAAGTGATGCTGATCCTGTGACTGTCCTGTGTTCCTAGGGGGCCAGAGTTCTGTGTGGGGGAGAGCCATTTGTTCCTAAGGACCCCAAATTGAAGGGAGGGTATTTCATGTCCCCCTGTGTGCTGGGTGAGTGAGCCATTATTTGGTGTGTTGGACTCGTTCTTGTCTGTTCTCACAACATTGCACCTTGCTCTGTGCACCCATTCCCCTATGTACTTAAGGGTTTCATTCCTTGACTCTTAACATAAGCCGGACCTGACATAAGAAGGAAAACACTCTTTCTTAGTCGTGGAATGAATGCATATAGAGAAATACCACTCATGATGTTACAGTGATTTATTTGTCATAGCTGTGTCAGTGAGTGAAGCAAGGAGAGCACAGGCGCAGCGTTTATTGTCCTTTAACGGTTAATAGGTGTATGTGCTGATCATGGAGGGAGGTAAAGAGCAAGAGAGAGAATGGAGCAGCAGCTAGTAGTCCATCAGGCAGATAAAAGAAACATCTGCCGTTTATATAGGAGGAGAGAAATATTACAGGGTTTACAACCCTGTAATTAGAATAATTCAACACCAAATTTAGTATACAATACAGTAAATAAAAATAAAAACTGCACATATCATTACCCTACATGGTTCTTTTTTTATTTAAACACAAAATTAAATAAACAGACGAGAATAAAAACAAAGGAACAAGTAAAGGTTTATTCCATGCTAAAAAGAGAAGAAAGAAAACGCAACGTTTCAGCTGTGGAGCCTTCTTTGGGTGTAATCAGCCGAAACGCTTTTTTTTCTTCTTTTCAACAAGAAATAAACCAGTGGTTCTCAAGCTTTTTGGACCAAGTACCACCTCTGGTCAAACCAAAGCATCCAAATACCACCTACAAGTCATCTTCTCATAGGAACCACAGAAAAACTCAATGACCAGCATCAACGTGTGCGCACACACTCACATGTTCATGGGTCACTTACATATAATAAAAGTAGCACTGAGCACTTACCATTTCAGTGAGATGGGTGAGCCTGTTTAGTCGAGCAAAGCAGATGTGAATTCATTGGTTGAGCCTTGATACAATTCACAACTTTGACAGCAGAATCTAACAGATTTTAAATCCAAGGCCTGGCGGTGGATGCGGCAGTACGTCCACTTCATATTTGGAGCAACCTCTCTAATTAGTGCAACTACACCCGCTGTTATCGCTCTAGCACCTTCTGTACAAACTACAATGCATTTTTTCCAGTCGATGCCATTCTCCTTGATAAATTCATTCAGAAGCTGAAATATGTGCTCTCCTGTAGTTCTTGTTGGTAGCGGTTTACAGTTCAAAAACTCCTCTGGTGACATGCCCTCAAACTCCTATCTAACGTCAACAAGCAAATTAGCCAAATCAAAGGCATCTACAGACTCATCTAATTGCAGTGAAAAGCATCTGCACATCTTAATGCGCTCTATCAGCGTACTTTTGACATCATCCGCCATATCAATAATTCTACGAGTGACTGTGTCATTCGAAAGGGGCAGCAGGTCGAGCTGTTTAGCAGCTTTTTCTCCACACATAATGCGTATCAGCTCTTTTGCCAACGGTAAACAATGTTCTTCACAAATAGTGTGGAGTGTACCTGCTTTAGGAATCCACAAGCTTGCATTTTTCCCCAGTTCCGTTTCAGGAGTCTGTCTCGGAAGTTAAAAAGTTTTTATTTCCTGTGATTACAAGATGGACTGTTCCAAAATCACATACATTCTCCTACCTCCCTATTTGCTGGCGATAACTTTTTAAATACAATTGGCCACTTACGTTTGTAGCATTCCTATACAATAGTATAGTATTACATAGTAGCTCTTGTGTCCACTCAAGTATTAGCGAGCTGTATTGTAGTACGTAGACTGTGTATTTGACACAAACTCATTTAATTAAAATAGAAAATATGAAAACCCATCCCAGTTTTTCAGTGCACACAACAAATTTCCAGGGTCATGTAGTACGCATTCCATAGTTTGAGAACCACTTTGCAGCCTATGCATGCTGACGCAGCTACCCACCAGAAAATAAAGTGGGTGCTTCCCTGACATGAGTACAATACGGATTACTCAGAATTTCTGATGAAAAGGCGCCTGATAAAATGCAGAGATGGCTTGCTCCGTGCTGTTTGCAGAAGGACATTTCAGCACTTCTTGCTCTTTAAGCCTGTTACATCAATTCTCCTTACCTAGAAAATGTTATTCTGGGACCCGCGGGAGGTTTTAGATAGTCGAATTTACATAACCCGGGAAGAAAGTGTCCTTCTGTAGGAGACCTGTGTCCTGTCAAAACAGTTCTGCTGTAAATGTCATAAATCCTTTTACTTTATATGTTGGTTATACAGTTATGTAGCACCTACAGTATTGGTTTAATTTTATATAGACTGCATCAAACCACAGGAAGGACAGTCTTCTGTGGAATGTAGTTCAGACAAGTTTCTAGCTGTCCTGTCTATATTGTTCACCCACAAGAAGCAGAAATTAAAACAAGAACTTTACCAAGTTACTTGTTGCGAGAGCAGGTTGAGATTCATAGTCCATATGTTGTGGTTTGAAACATGTCTACGTACCTGAACACCACTAGTTCTAGTCATATGATTTGTTCAGTTCATGTTAATTGTGCTGCAGGCAGTGTGGCTTCTCACCATGAAAAATAGCTCTCACTTTTCCTATAAATCTCACCCAAGTGCCAGTGATACTTCCTGTAGATGATTATGTTTTTAGTTTTCTGTCAGCAAAGACTCAGAATTTCTGTCCTCTTGAGAATATAAATAACGGAGAGTAGAAAGTTGTAGAAAATAAATCTTTTTTTGCACAAAGAAACAAAGTTCCTCTTTTGTTAGCACACCAACAATTTTTAGTGTGTTCCCTTTGCACTTGTCCCAGTGTTGATACATGCTCTCTCCTGGTCACAGATAACTGCAGGGACGACATGACTTGTGTGAAGGAGGAGATCTTTGGGCCAGTGATGTCGGTGCTGCCCTTTGAGACTGAGGAGGAAGTCCTGCAGAGGGCCAACAACACCACCTTCGGCCTGGCCTCCGGAGTCTTCACCAGGTACCACCTTCACGTGAAGATGCCACGGAGGAACCATTGTAATCCCTCCTGGGAACTAAACAGCTGAGCTTCTGCTGCCTATTCCCAAATCTCTTCTCAGTGCATGGCTCTATCATCACTGCCTTCGTTTGTATGAATAGATCCTGTGAGAACAGCTTTGCAGTAACCTGCAAATTGATTAACTTAAGGTCAGTTTTTTTCTCCCTGATTAAGTCCAGCTTCTGTAACAGTGCTGTATGGTGTGAGCTGACCCTTACCACTGTCTGTGTAGGTCTTGGCACTGACTTTTATTTTGGTTTTGAGGTGCGTGGGCACTTGCGCATTGGTGGTGGTGTGTTATATTGCCTTTGGGTCATCACAGATTAAATCAGTTGCCTGTCAGCTTCACCTTCATTTGACAACACAGTTTATACACTGTATCAAAATTATCCTTCTGTGTTTATCAGTGATAAGGATGGGTGGGGGATCCAAAATGAGTTAACTTTGAGCATCTCTGTCTCCTGATGGGTTGGTCATTTCAGATCAGAAACATTTGTGGAAGTTTTCATTAAAATCAAAAGGGTTGAGCCCTGACCGTGTTGACTGATTTCATGTGGAATGACCTCCTTTAGAAACTGCCTGTTGCTGTTGATTCTTAAGAAACCGTGTTCTTCCTCCCCAGGGATGTGACTAGAGCTCACCGTGTGGCTGCAGAGCTGCAGGCTGGGACTTGCTTCATCAACAACTACAACATCAGCCCTGTGGAGGTGCCCTTTGGGGGGTACAAGATGTCAGGTAGGCATTTTTGAAGGAAGCCGGTACAGACATGCATGAGTTTATGCTACTGAAAGGCCATGTTTTGTCAGAATTGAACATAGTTCAAAACACAGACAAAATTCATCCGGTATTTGTTTTTCTTACAAAGTTCTGAATTTTGCTCCATTGTCTTCCGTTCTTGCAAGGTAAATGTGCTTTTCGAAGACCATTGCTAATGTAATGCAGGAGCATGGGCAGTTCTTGCCTTTGCTGTGCGGTGCTACTGGCAAAAATAAGTTGCGTCACTTTGGAGGAACCAGGTTGCCGTTGACAGACGTGTCATGAATGGTGGGGAGCAAACAGCTCTTTGCCTACAGTGGGTGAATGAAGCGCGATCTATTTTAAAAAATACTTACAGGCCTCCCCAGTACCTCAGCCGGTAAATGCTTGGAGCCATGCGCAGCTTTAGCTCCGTAACCCAGGTGTTAAGGGTTCGAGACGGGGGCATGTCATTAGCCTGTCCAGCCCACTGTGACTGGAATGCCTCAAATGGTGGCGCACAGTTGGCTGAGCAGCGCAGCGGGGAGGATGGGATTAGTCGGCCAGGGTAGTGCTGTGAGAGAGGGATGTATCTCTGCTCCAGTTGGTGCAGAACCGCTGGTGAGAGTCTGCGCTGCCTGAGGCGTGTTAAAAGTTGAGTGGTTCGAAGGCAGGCAGGTCTGCACTTTTGTGTTCTCCCATGTGCGGTCAGAGGATTTGTAGATGTGAGATGAAATAAAAATAACACCATTTGAGACTTCAAACAGCATTTTATTTAAGTTTTTAACTCCAGCACCTCAGGGTAAAGGCTATTCATTGTAGCATTTCCTATTTTAAAAATCAGATTGAACTGTCTTGGATTTTTTTAGCTAAAATGTAGGTAAAGAATTTCCCTGCAAAAAAGCAGATTCTATTTTTTTCAATCATAAAAACATCATACTCTCTGCCCTGTTAAACATTGGATCTCATCCTGCTAGAGCTGCAGGACATAACGTAAAGGAAAAAAAGGTTTGGGCATTTATGCCAAGGAACTTTTTAGCTTGACATTAATATGGATACCTGATTCTTGAATTAGAAGTGCTGTGTCTACTTCTGTATGCACTTCTCTCATATAGTTCTTTTATCAAGCCAAAAATGAGGTTATTTTATGAACAATCTGAAAGGCCTAAGAGTCATGTTAAAAATGTGTAAAAACATATTTTGCCAATATTGTTTTGCCTTTGGAACTACTGTGCGTCTGGGGCAGATGCAGAGTCACAAAAGTGTGAGTCATAGAAAATGAAAGAGCCATTATCTTGTATTCTTCCCCAATAACAAACTGTTTGCTCTGTCTTGACCCAGGCTTTGGCAGAGAGAACGGCCTGGTGACCATAGAATACTACTCCCAGCTGAAGACTGTCGTCGTGGAGATGGGCGATGTAGAGAGCCTGTTCTAGACCATTCTAGATCATTCCAGTACACTGGCCTAGGAAGATGATCCTGCTGCATCATGCTCCCTAACCGCCCCACACCTGGTGGAATTCTGCTCATTTAGTTTTCAGCCCAGCTCTTGACAGAAGTGGGCATGGTGTCTGACATCACCACCAAATCTAATACAAGCAGATGGTCACATCTGCCACATCTTTGAAAACAAGTAGTAATATTCTGAATAATGGTAGCTCAGTATGTTCGCACATATCGACCAGTGACTAATTTTGGGACAGGTTTTTGTTATGTGCCACCATTTTAATGCAGAGCTTGACATTCTTTATTCTCCAAACTTTTGGAAAATAATGGTCCACTTATTAATACTGATATTTGTCCAGGAAAACATCTTAGTAAAACCCGATGTTGGAACACCGTTTGAATTTTTAGTTTCATAGGTGGTTTCACTGAAACCTTGAAGGAACCATTTCAAAGACAAACTGTTTCTATATCCTTTAATCCATAGCTCAGAATTAGTGTCAAGAATGAATCTGGATTTTCTCTTGAGCTCAAGTGTCATTGTAACACTGATCAAAGGAAATATATTTTTCTACATTTTGTGAAACAAAGCTGTGAAATATGCCTTTTGAGGCTCCATTACCTTCACTACACAACTACAGTACCTGCAAGTAGTGGCACCGGCCATCTTAGTCTGCATTGCTGGAATTGTTCTTTGTCGTTTTATAATTCTCTGCAACCATCACTTTTGCTGTTGGTAGGATTTTTTCTATAACAATATTTACTTAAAACTGTCTCAAATTTTGCCAGCATGCACTGAGCATGATTTTTCATTTTTAAATCTCTCGGTCCATATACATGTTATATTGTAGATAATTCTTTGAAGCACTAAAAATCTTTCATCAGGATGGCCTTGGTGCACAGCCTACAGTATGTGGTTGTTTTTTGTAATTTCATTGTAGCAAGTCTGTTAACCTTTCAACTGGTCCTTTTTATTAATAAATACCAAGCTGCAGTTTATGAATTGTGTATCTACACTTTTTGTTGAATCCTCTGTGATTAGTGTTTCCACATGGTGATGGCATTTATTGACCCACACTACTAGTAACAGTTTGACACCAAGATTTCCAGATCTTACCATGAAACAATACAGTAATGACATAACTTAAAAAATCTATAAATAACAGCACAAGTTTATTAAAAGGCCCAAATCGTACAAATTCTGACTTATAACAAAAAGTGCTTTTAAAATTAACAATATTTGTTTCTCACTAAGCTTGTTTTATCAGAAATGCAGTAAATATTGTATTTGTACATTAAAGAAACTACATTTTTACAGAAAATGTGGAAGAATTCGAAAAATATCTCATTGGAAAACCTTTTAAAAAATTCAAAGAATATTTCTTCCACACAGCACCCTGCACATATTTAAAGTGCAGTTAACATTGGTATTGCAGTTGAGGTAGCATTGATCTGCTTTTCAAAGGCACAATTTCATCCAGAAATTGGTATTGATTGTCACATGTGCTCTATACCATTACACCTCTCAACAAAGTGCATACGCAACAAAATATGAACTCCTCAGTGTTTAATCTTATTCAGTGTTGTATTTAAGGTCTGCTGAATCCTTTTGGAGACAGTGTTCTAAGGAATCTGTCGTGTAATGTCTTTAGGTTAACACAAACACTTAAAATCTTCACAAGTTTCTGTTGACAAGAATAATTCATTAATTTTCTTGAACACATTACACACTACATGTAAGGCTCACTGGCCTGGAATAGTTTATAATTGAAAATTAATTGAACAACTATGACCCTTCTGTTTAATAGTTTCTGTTCTTGCACACTTGGTGCTCTAAGTATAATTTTCACTGTTCATTAGTACCCTAGAGCATCCTGAGTTTTTACTTCTTATTGTTGTTTGTTTTAGTGTAAATATAATAGTTTTAATATTATTGTTGTTATTTGGCTCCATAAATGAAACTTGCCTTCTTGTCTTAAAGGTATGCATAAAAATACTTTAAAAGGTTCTTCATTAAAACTCTGTAGAAATATTTCTTATATTATGATTCATTTTTGGCAAAAAACAATTGTTGAGCTACCCAAATAAGTACAAGTAGTGGATTGCTTTGTCACAGATACTGGCTTCACTACAGCCAACATAAAAAAAATAGCATTCATGTTGACCTGCAAAAATAGATGTGCAGCAACGTAGCACTGTAGCAATATGGCTTTTCATCTCCAAGGCTTAGGGCTCATAACCAAGGCCTGACAGAGCTCCGTCTTGGCAGCGGCTGTGTTTCCAGGACAGCGATCATCTCCACAGCAGGTTCTGCAAAACACGGAAGCAATTTTGATGCTTTTGATGTCTTGATGCTTCGTTGAAAACTCATATATTGGTTTACTCCCGCTCTCAAGTAAATACCTGAATATGCTGCAGTGTAATTAAAACAAATTATCGTCTCTTTTATTCTTGTAACTCTGTAAACATTTGTAATTTTAGTTGGGGGGAAAAAATGTCTTTACGGAGTTGCGAGTTTAAGTGAATTAAGGTGTGACTCGCACCTGAGAAAGGCTCGGCAGCCGAAATGTTGTGTTTTCTTCTTTTTTAGCATGGAATAAACCTTTAGTTGATCCTTGCAGCCTACGCATGCTGATGCAGCTACCCACCTGAACTTAATTTTACATGACTAAAAATGCATTTCATATATTTTCTCATATCATTAGGATGGTAAATTAGTACCCATAAACCTTCGAGAACTGAAATGTATACTTTTCTCTGAGCCGACAGGCTTTGGAAAGTTACCTGTTGAAGTGTTTTTATTTTCAGCAGGCAACTGCGGTCCGTGTTCATGCCAGCTGCCTTCCCTAATGAGGCGGCAGATGCTGGAGAAAAACGAGGCACAGGCTCGGCTGACACAGTGGACGCAATTCCAGCTCTCTGTAAAATAATCGCCTTAATGGAGATACATGGCAAAAAATGTATTTTACTACAACTTAACCCCACCACACAGAAATAAGATGGAACAAATTATGCCCAGTGTTGTATTGCAACTCACAAATGGGAACCCACTGAAGCAGGTGTGAGCCTGGTCAGTACCTGGATGGGAGACAACCTGGGAAAAACTAAGGTTGCTGCTGGAAGAGGTGTTAGTGGGGCCAGCAGGGGGCGCTCACCCTGCGGTCTGTGTGGGTCCTAATGCCCCAGAACAGTGACAGGGACACTACACTGTAAAAAGGTGCCATCCTTTGGATGAGATGTAAAACTGAGATCCTGGCTCTCTGTGGTCATTAAAAATCCCGGGGTGTTTCCTGAAAATAGGGGTGTTACCCTAGTCTCCTGGCCAAATTTCCCATTGGCCCTTACCAATCATGTCCTCCTAATAATCCCCATCTATGAACTGGGTTCATCGCTCTGTTCTCCTCCCCACTGAGAGCTGATGTGTGTTGAGTGTTCTGGTGTACTTTGCCTGCCGTCGCATCATCCAGGTGGGGCTGCAAATTGCTGGTGGTGGAGGGGTGTCCCCATTACCTGTAAAGCGCTTCGAGTGGAGTGTCCAGAAAAGCGCTATATAAGTGTAAGTAATTATTATTATCATTATCAAAATTATTATAGAATGCGCATCAGTTTATATACAAGTATTTGGAACTAACTGAAAAAAACTGAAACAAAACGATGTTAACAATAAACTGTATTTATCCATGTGGTGTCCCCTAGGCAAACTGTTGTTCTTCGCAATCCCTGGCAAAGCAAACCGTGATGACTAACGCGCCCTCAACACGGAAAGAAAGTGGTTTTTCATTTTGACGGAGTTAAACGAAACAGGCGGCAGCTCTTTCTATGGCTGTAAATTAGAAAGAAAACAAATCTACATCTAATTCCAAATATTAATTTTCAATGTAACAAATATATACGTTTTAAAAAATACGTTGTATTACCTATTAGATCTGATTGCTTGGTTTTATTTTTAAAACTGTACTGGAATGTTGTACAAATGTTGATACTTTGTGCAGATCTGTTGTGAGGTGGTACTGAATTAGTCATCAGTATTAACAGATGATATGATATTCTGGAATCTCTGCAGCGTTATTATCTTTCTTGGCTAACTCTTTCATCCAAACAATTATTATTACGCTTGTACCCATTTATACAGCTGGGGATTTTGCTGAATCAAGCCCCTTATCCACACCGTTAAAATTGTTTCATTTGCCGAAGGGTTACACAGTATGTGCGCCGAACACGGATGCAAGCAGAGCCGATAACTCACCCCTCTCTGTGCGCTCTGGGAACCGCTGCGAGGAAATGTCAGGCGGCTCGAAGTGCTCGGTCAGTTTCTCTATCGCATCCTTAAAAGACGGTCCTGCTTCCAGAGTCGAAAAAACGCGCTGGCCCTCAAGACCCAGGCAGTTCAGTAGGATTTCTCTCTTTATGTTATCGGGCTGGTCCATCAGTCCCGTGGCATCTATGTAAGCGATAAGTCTGTCAGACCACTGTGACCAAGGCTCCACAGGTTCTCCCGGCTCCGTCAGAAACAGTCCCGGTGGCAAAATGGGATTACCTTCCGCCATTTAATCTTCCTTAAATTATTTTAGCTTTTGCTAAAAGTTATTCTGATCGCAGCACCGGGTCCGCGTCTCAGATATACGCGACGAAGAAACGTGCGCCTCGAAGCAATGTACTGTGTTTCTTGCTGTCTCCTCTCACTATTTTGCCCCCCCCTTCTGCAAGACGTAGAAAGCACAGCCAGAGCTGTGTGTACAGCGTGTGATAATACCTCACAAATGTGTGTGCATTTAAATTAAGCAAGGGAGATCATTCATAAAGGCCGTCTACAGCTACAGCTCTCTTATATTAAATACGTATATAGATATGCTGTAAGGAATTACCGGTAGCCTTGTGTATATGCACTGTATAGTTAGCGTATGTGAAAATTCAGTAAGTATGTTAAAGATATTAATATATTAAGAGGATTTTAGGAATACTAAATGAATTAATTGTGTAAATTTAAAAAAAAACGACTCAAACTTTATTACAATTAAAATGTTTACAAACGGCACACACGGTTGGCCTTTCCACCTTCACAGTCACAGCTACTCTCACCACAGCGCCTCGATGAGCGCTCTCGGGTCAGCTCTGCGTGATGGCTCCGCTGGAATCTGAGTTCCGATGCTGACTAGATTGTGATGGTGGGAGGGGAGAAATAAGGTGTCAGACGGGTGTCATGGGGGAGGTGGGGCTTGTCTGAACTCTGAATTCGCCACAATTCATTGAGATATCTCTGCCTCGCTTCAAAGGAGGTGATGGGTGTGACAATATTTGTTACTCGCGCTAGGTTTGATTCCACAGTGGATATGTAGATTTTCATTCTCAGGACAGTGAAGAATACATACATATCTGTAATTACTCTTTATTAAAAACTATTGATTCCCCCAATTGTCCTATATTAGGAGGTAATAGTTATAGAGGGCTACAATGTTCATTTTTTCTTTGTTTAAAGGTTTTCTGCGTTTAGCCTACTCATCTTCCCTTAGTCTCTGGGTGGAGCAGGACTGAAGAAGACAGAGACCATGTGACTAACTTGTATCATGGCTGAGATCAGAGCGAGTTCTGGAATCAAAGGCACCTTGGGTTTGTGGATCTAATGAGATTAGATTTTATGACTCTTTCTATTTGTACTTCAGTAATAGGTTTTCTTTTATTACCTAGAGAGTTCAGTAATGAGTACTAGATTGAGCTTCAAAGTATTCAGTAAACCAGAAAGTACTGTACATTCATTTCAGGTTTATTTAATTAAAGCTTTGTTTCAGCTATATAAAGGGAAATGTGTGCTGAATGGTTTGATAATGTAAAATTTCACTCAACCCATTTGAACAGCAATGTGTTGTCATTTCCTGTTGCAGTGGTGAGGTTCCCAATTTTACTTGGCTTACCTTACACCACTGCATAGAAGAATCTTGAAGTGAGCAATTTGCTCAGAAAATAATGTTGGACCTTGACCAGGGACCATTAAGAACATAAGGACCACCTGAGAGTTTGCCCAGCCATTACCACCCTCCATGGGCCCCCAAACTGGAAAATGTTTTTGCCCCTCTTTGCCCCATAAACTAGCATATTACCCACCCTGCTGACAAAACATGGCACTAGCATGGACGTTTTCTTACTCTTGGAAAACGATGTTGTCCAAGATGTTTTTTGCAAATTAAATGTAAACACAGACTGGTATTTTATCATGGTATGTCTTATAACTCATGGTGGCCCATAATTATCCATATAATTCATTTTAAACGATGGCAGCCCACGATGATCACAATGTAGATCTGCAGAGCAGCCATGTATGTCAAAGGCTCACTCTTGCTCTATTTCCAAATGTGTAGGTGTTACTCCCTCCTAGACTACCTCTTCAATGCAGAGTTAGAAAGTGCAACTGAACACTCACAAAAAGCAGACTAAGGAAAAACCACAGGAATTAACAATGAAACATACAATGTTTTATTTGCATTTTAAATAGCTGCATTTTTACTGATGTAGAAAACATTCATTTAGTATTAAAAATTGAAATTGCACAACAGCAGCAATCTTTTAGACATTCTTTTAGTAAAAATGAATCGACAAGGGACATGGCTGTGTTTTCTTACTTAGAATGTTAATACTTTACATGTAACAGAATAATTTCCATAATTTCTCAATGGTGAACTGAGTATTTACCATTTTAGAAAATAAAAGTGCAAAAATGTTAGCATATAACCATATGCATGACAATTCAAGTAGGTAGCTGACTGCAAAGGAACAAGTAAAGGTTAATTCATGCTGAAAAGAGAAGAAAAGAAACATAACGTTTCAGCTGTGGAGCCCGAAGACATTCTTTTGAATGTCACACCTGAAGAAGGCTCCACAGCTGAAACGTGTTTCTTTTCTTCTCTATTCAGCATAGAATAAACCTTTACTTGTTCACCTGCATAACAACGTAGACTATATCTGATAATGCCACAGTGAAACCATTATAGTGCATGATACAGAACAACATCTCCTGTTTTCATGACACATTCAGTTTGTCTCATTAGAACAATGTCAAAATATATGAACTCTAGCAGAGCCCACAGTGCTTTTCAAAGTTCTAAATTATTGCACAACTTAACAAATCATTTTTAAATCTAAAATACTTTAACAGGGGTAGGTTTAAAACTCTAAATCAAACATTTGGAAGCTTTTGATAGACTGCAAAAAGAAAGGTTGGTCATGCCTGTCTCATATGGCAAGCATTTTATGTTTTATATTTTGTTTGTAGTTTAAAATGCTTAAATTGGGGGCAAAGGCATATTTAATTTAATTACATAAGCTAGTCATAAGCTCCCACTGCAAATAAAAGGAATTATTTGAGATACTGACTTGATTGATGCTCACTCTATTCTTCCTTTCTGTTGAATTGTTTTGCACTTTATTTTTGGATAATTTTAATATCAGGATAATTTATTTTATTTACACAATAGCATTATATCCTTCAGAAGAAACAGGAGAGTATTGTTATTAATAACAATAACGTGCAATGTACACTATAATTATTTTTTCAGTTTCTCTGTGTATTTTGTACAAACTCTCCGAAATAAATATTCTTGAGAAATACTGTAAACATCAGTTCCCTGGGTGTCTTAATCAGTTCAGCTTATCGTTCCCTGTAACTGACCTTATAAACCTTATTTCTGAATCTGTGCATTTTCTAATAAGAAAGATAAAGATTTTGGATCCTGTGCTTGTTATGGCTGACACAAATAGATACACATAAAATTGGTTTAAAAATATATATGATAAGATATCATTTTATGATATCAAGTTATAATCAAAATCATTTTCTGCAGGGGGTGTGTAAGGAGTGTTAAGTGAACAGTAGTTGAAATCCTTCAATAATTTTGGAAAGCAGGCTCAGTCATCAGGATTTTCTGGAAAGCAGCATAAAATGTAGCACCGAATTAAAATATATACAACTGAAGTATAAAAAAATAAATATAAACAATCTAGTGTGTTGTTCACAAATCAAACCAAGGACGAACAGAGCTCTGGAATTGTACCGGCTCAGTCTCTTGAACGGGAGTTGAAAGATCCTCAGTTTCTATAAAAAGAAAGATTAACAACATAAGATTCTCTTTTTTTTTACACAGCAATAGATTTTCTAGATCACCAGCTGTTGAATGCGTAGTTAAAACAGAGTTAAGTCATATCTAGAATTCACGCACTGGCGACTGAGTGCCTCTTACAGGGGACTGTAAGGATGTTATTTTGTATTAACCCTGCACAGGGCCTGTTTCTAGCAGCTAGTGGACTTTATTAGGAAACAAGCAACTAACGTATCAGGACCTGTAAAAATGTTTCAGTGCTCAGCTGAAGAATCCAGCTGTCGCCAGGGAAGCATGTGGTAACAAAACTTCTAGATTTACCATGTATGTTAATAATATCGTATCATAGAAAAGCCTATCAGCCCAGAAGAAAAATAATGAGGCTTCATTGCAAGATTGCTTGAGACTTCAGAAGTCAAAGACTGAGAATACCATAGATCCCTGGATCAGAACATGAAACACAGTGATGTGTCATTACCAGCTGTTTCAGTCTGGTTTCTGCGTGTGAAGAAACGACATTTAAGCTTCTCGTAGATCCCAGAGAAACAGGACATACATCTTGCGCGAGTTCCAGAGCTTGATTGCAGCTGCTCTGTTAAAGAAAACTCTTTGGTTAAAGATTATATACACTGCACTGCGTAGAAATTATATATATTTATAAATGAAAACTCCAGTGAAAATTTTACTTGAAAAACCACCACAGTATATACAATAATACACAATCATGTTTTAATTTACTCTGCATAAACCATCTTATATAAAGACACTGCAGCAGCATAGTAAATAGCTGGCTACTATAATAACCTGTAGGAGCATTTTCTTAACACCTCTAGAGGGAAAACAGCTTTAATTTTTTTACTTAAATGCGTTGTTTTTTTTAATATCGTGTCATTTCTCAAAACGCAACAAATCGAAACAGGATGACATAAAACAAGAAAGTTCTCTATTTTTTAAGGACATTCTTTAGATTGCTTTAAACATAGCTTCTCTCCATTCCAGCTGCATTTAGGCTTTTATCGGGAATACAATTCTAGTGATTATGGTTTCTCGCCTAATCTGAAACTTAAAAATCTAATATGAACACGAGCTAAAGTATTAGTAGTTAATACCGTCCCATTTTAAAAAATCTGAAACCGCTTCTCGTTCCTATAAAACATAACGACCTGAAATGTTTCATTTTGTATATTTTGCAAACAAGCTGTGTATTGGACAGCACTGTTTTGACAAACAAGGTAATGGCTATTGAAAACAAGGAAGAGTAAACAACTGCAATTCCAATTTGAAATGTTTCGATTGATTCCGTCGCACATAGCCACCTTAACCCTTTAATGGGCAAGTACCAAAAAACTTAACTGAAAAATGTTTAATTGTTTTTTTTCTAGTGCATTTTGTCTCAAATAACACAATTACATAAGTTTTTTCAAAACTGTGTGTTTATTTTCCATTTTACAAACTGTATCCCACAGGATACGGTGCCCATTTGGGGTATACAGCCGAACTGTTTTTGGCAACTGCTCACATGGTCAAAAGAACCATAAAACCATTAAAACTCACTCCTTTTTCTGTTTCATTAAAAAATATAAAATCTTACCAAACATACAATACACCCTTGACCCTACTGGCTAACACAGAGTTAAGTCATATCTAGAATTCACGCAGTTGCGACTGAGTGCCTCTTACAGGGGACTGTAAGGATGTCTTGGTGTTTAAAAAATTACAACTGGTGTTAAAACTTAAAACTTACAAGTTACTCTAGTGTTAAAAATTAAAAATCATACAAAAACCCCAATTCATTTGGGCCCAAAATTGCAACAGTTCATTCTTTGTTTAATACCGGTACTATGGACCTCCCAGATTCTCTGAGAGATCTGACGTCACGATTCTGGGCGGTCTCGAGTCCACGTACAATTACCATGATAGCTGCTGAATTTAACTCTGGTTTACAAACCATTCTCTTGACCTGATAATGACCCTTTTCGATCTTGCGTTTGAAGCCTACAATGGATGTTGTGAGCTTTCAGAAAAATTAAGGTAATTCGATATTTGTAGACAATCTGTGTAAATATAAACCACATATTTTTTTTGTATTCTAATAACAATATAGATACTGTAGCAATTGCTTGGAATTTCTCTTTAAATTGGAATATCAATTGTTTAGAATTGTTTCTCTTTAATAAATTACAATACAAAATGAAACATGCATAGCAAAAACACATCTTTACAAAACACTGGGATTTCAGAATGGAAAATCATTTCATCCTTTTACATACAAAATAAAGAACAAGGATTAACATCAGTTAGATGGTGTGTATTGCCATGTCCCTTGTGGTAGGGTTAGGCTGCAGACCTGTTCAGCAAAAGGTGTGAGGTTTACAGAAGGAACCGAAATATCAGACTCATTCACTTAACTGCGTAAACCAGAACAATCTGTCAAATCATACTTATGAACTTAGGTACAGTGGTAAGAAAAAATCATCTTTTTTATCTAGCAGTTATTTATATTCTTATCCCTGCAGTAATTGCTACTAAAATGTGATCAGATCTTCATCCCTGTCATAATAATAGATAAACTTAATGTGATTAAACAAATAACACACAAACTATTGTTTCACCAATAACTGTCAATGGTAGAGAAAGTATATGAACCTTTAGATTTAGTAACTGCTGGATCCTAACATAACAATATAACATTTCCTGTAGCTGACCGGCACTGCACTTTTGGTTTGGTATTTTGGTGGCAAAGCAGCCACAACCCATGATGTTCCCTCTACCATGCTTCATGGCTGGGATGAGGTTTTTGTATTAGTATGCAGAGTTCTTTTCCCTCCAACCACAATATTGCATATTTATTCCACTTTTGTTTCATCTGGCCACAGAACAATGTTTCAGCAGTGTGTGTAGAATCCAGATAGTCTTTGACAAACCTGACATGGGCTGTAATGATTGTTTTTGGAGAACTGTGGTTTCCTTCGTGGTATCCTCCCACACTCGCCACTCTCGTTCAGTGTTTTTCTTATTGTGGACTGATGAACACAGACATTAGTCAGAGCAAGAGATGCCGCAGATCCTTAGCTGTTAGCCTCGAGTTCTTTGTCACCTTGTTGAACACTGCAGAGCTGGCTCTTGCAGTGATGTTTGTTTAACAACCACTACTAGGGGGAGTAGCAATTGTACTGCATTTCTTCCATTTGTACACTGTCTGCCCGACTGTGAACTGATGGAGGCCTAAGTCTTTAGAAATGCTTTTGTAATCCTTAGGAGTCTTATGAGCATTGAAAACTCTTCTTATGAGGTCCTCTGAAACCTCTTTTTGATTTGGGCATGTTTTACTTTGACAAATTTGTGAAGAGCAGACTCTATTGTTATCGAAACTTTGTGTTGTTTTTTTATAGAGTAGGGCACCTCAAACTCACACCTGAATGTCATCACATTGATTGGAACTCTTGGCTCCAATTACCCCCTTTAGTAGAGGTCAATATCCTAAAGGTTCACATAGAGTACTTTCTCGAGCATAGACAGTGAATGGTTAAGCAATGTGTTCAATATAGACAAGAAAAAAGTATAATTGTTTGTGTATTGCTTAATTTAGATTGTGTTTATCTATTATTAGGATTTAGATGAAGATTAGATAACACTATAGGAGCAATTAATGCAGAAATATATCAATTGTACATATTAATTGCAACATTTTATTGTTTTACTCTCTTCTTCAATACATACACATACCATTCTACCCTATATACCACTGGATTTAATCAAAACACAAAAACTTCAACATTTCTGTCAATGCATCATTATTGAGAGGTTTCATTCCTAATGCTGCATATGGAGTTGTTACACAGACGTTTGGTAGGAGGTCAAATTGTAACCTCATATTTCCAGTATCTTATGTATAAATACCATGCTGCTGTGCATACCTTACACATATCTTTTTTGGCACCCCTCCCTCCAGACTATCCTTACCATTACAGCTGCCTCCCTTGTTCATTCCTTGCAAGTGAGGGTGGTTTTGTCAGCCTTGACCTTAGTCAGGCAATTTAACACAATTCACAACACTCTTAAGTACAGTATCCCTTTATAGTTGTTCTCTTGTTGCTTTAATTAGAATTTGCCTAAACACTAAAATGTCAGCAAGCAACACAAACGTGCTGAAATGAGAGAACAAGAGATTATTTTATGTGGGGAAATCACTGTCAGAGACTACACAAAATCTAGGACATTTTGGCAGTTACAGTTTTGATTTTCTTGAAAATGGGTAATTTGCTGTAAATACAAATGTACCATATCATAAAATCAACAAAAGGTGTGGGTACAGTAGTTCATACTAATTGATGCAAAATTACTGTTAAAGTAGAACCTATTTTTTAAAATGAAGAGGATTAAGTTTAAATGACTATTAAGCAGTTTTATCGTGGCATTGTGGCTAGGTGTCAATATGTTGTCCTTGTGAAAATCACATAACTCAAAATGTAACTGATTTACCTTGTTCTGTCTCCTCCCAGAAGAAGGACTCGCTTTGCACCTGTCTCAGCCCGTGGGCCTGAAATGATGACACACCTGCAATTACTTGGAGAGTCCAGGGGAATTACCTAAAACAGGCTTGTGTAAATATTTTTACTCCCAAAGCCTGGTACATGATATTCATTCTTTTTATTTCCCGTATTTAACATACGGTATAATTAACTCATTACCAGTGTTTATCCTTTTCTGAAATAAAGAGAGAAATTCAAAGAGATACACTATCCACAAAGAAAATGCTAAATGAAACATGACACTTGGTGACCAGCTAGTCTGCAACTTTAGGTTAAATGACCAAAACCAATGAACAGAAAGTCATGATGGAATTGATTACATTAATCTTTCTGGACTTCAGTATTAAGGGCACTTGGATATGTACTGTACACTTCCCCCAGAAGACTCATAAGCCATTGCACTAATCACTGCTAGCACCTTGGTCATCCTTCATTTCCTGTTGCACTGATGGTGAAAATAAAACATTGCTGCACCCTGTTTTGGACAACACTGCCTTAGTTCCTCTTTTTAATAAGGGAAAATGTTATTTTTAAAATGTGTTTTTTAGAGCTCAAAGCCAAAAGAAAAAAATACAGAAAACGTATTTCTGTTAGAGATCACAAATGAGCTTGATATGGTAATGTTATACTAGGAAAGAGGATTTAAGCTAGTTTTGGCTATTAAATGTTCTTATAATACTTTACTTAGGTGTGTACATTACTGCAATCTAATGGGAATAAAAGTGCTTTTGGACATTGGACAAACAGCTCACATCTGGTTAATGATGGTGGAAAACGTTTTCTTGGGAAATTCCAGAACAGCTCATTAGTGCTTGATTGCGTTCAGATCAGGTGAGTGAGTGGGATCTATAATGCATGGATAGCATCGGCTTCACACCCATCAAACCAATGGGCACCTGATGATTGGTGGGGGCACTGTCAACCTGGAAGACACACTTCCTGGCAGGAAAGAAATACTGCAACATGGAGTGAACTTCATCACGAAGTACCATTAATTAGCAATCAGTATTGATCTTGCTTTCTGAGGCAGTGAGTGCACCACGAACATTGCAGATCCTGGGAACCCTTCACTATTGGAAACAAGCACTAAGGGCTATGGCATTCTTTAGGGCATCACCACATGTGCATGCATTCATTTCTTGAGAACCTAGAACATGCTAAAGGATGATTCATCTGACAGATGACAGATTCCTCCAGATCCTCCAGATTGCTCCGTATTCAACTGCCCATGCTCTTTGCTCCACTGGACTCACACACGTACACTGCCAGGAGTGATGAGTGGTTTGTGCACCATACTGTGGTATCACAGTCCGTCAAAACTCCACAAAACATTTTTGATGACATTTGGTGCTCGGGCCCCAGATTGAAAGTTGCAGTCATTTGATCTGCAGTTGCTCATCTGTTTTGTCTTGCACTTTGAACAAATGCAAGGATATCACGATCCTGGAGTATTTTTCATCCACTGTTCATCTTTGCTGATGATGTCAGTCCGTTGGTGTTCCATGCTGACCTCCCCTTAGCAAGTTGAGCTGTCTTGGTCATTGAAGTCCTACAAAATGTACCCCCAAAACCACCCCTCTTTTAAAGTCACTAAGGTCTCCACTTGTATCCATGTGGCCAAAATTACAACAGGCTGGTTTTATTGTTATATTGGACCCTAAGGATGCCAGGATATTTTTTTCATTAATGTATGCCAGAGCCACACACTGTATAGAAGTCCTTGCTTTTAATATAATCAGTATCTCTCATTTACCAGGTGTTTTCATGTTTTTTGCCCACTACCCAGAGGTTATTTCCAACTTACTTTTTTTAGATATTGTAGTTACCATCATTATTATGCATTATATATATATATTATGCTGGAAAGGACTGTCGCTCTCGTTCAACAACTAGCGAAACTAATGCTCAACAACATACACAGTACATATAACTTGGTAAAATGCAAGACTGAAAACGGGCACTGGGGCTGTACTTGAGCGATTAATGAGACATACTGTAAGACACAGTGGCTGAGATATTAATTTAGCTACAGCTGTCATTATTTTATAATTAACAGACTGTAGCGTTTTTAACTGGGAAACAAAATCAGACTAACTAGTTGTATGACCAATAATTAACTCCTAAATTAGAAGACCTAAATATTTGTTTAAACACATCAATTATATATTATATGTCTCTATGGATTTAATTAACTGATGTTTTAAAGATCCACATGAGCCAATAAAATATTGTTTATCGCATTTAGACGCTCCTCTTTCGGCGCGATTAAACAAAAGCAGACTACACTAACATTTTCTGCAGGGGACACACGATTCAGTCGAGACGCATTATTTTCCTGACGTAAGAACAACAGTGCTTTTCAAAGATATGGAGTACTCAGTTAAAGTTCAGTCGTGCCACCTTTAGAAGACATGACGTTTTATCTAAGTCTTGTGTTCATACTGCATGTATAAATCTATTAAAAATCTTACCGGATCATTCCTATGAGATGTCTGCATGCTGAGCTCCACTAAAGACTCTGGCAAAGTGCTGCTACCTGCACGACAAGCGATCGCTCTTTTTATGTCTTCGGGATTTCCCAGTTTTCGGGGAATTTCCATTTATCTCAACGCGGCACAAGAAAAGCCGCTAGCCTTGGTCCTCTGTCATGAAACAAGTTAAGTTTTTTACGAACAGGAAGTCCTCCCGAACATGTCAGTTCACACACTTCCTTGGGTCTTTTGACTTGCAGTTTGCAGTCATGTAAAATCAATTCAAAACCTATTCATCATGTAGCAGTTTTAAAGTTGCATCCATACGGTAGAAAATGCAGGGTTTTCTATTAATGTTAATACAAAATCTTTATTTTTTCTTTTAACGTCCTACATATGACCATGTCAAAAATGCTTCATTTGTTTGACGTGACTGGAAGTTACTCAGACTCGCAAATCCGACGTTCGAAGGAACTGCTCGCCAACTCGCTTTGCGTTGTACAGAACTCCTTTTGTAAATAAATGTATCTGAGCTAGAACGGAAACAGTACCTTTGTATTTTCATACATAAGTTAACTTTAGCAGTTACTTTAGAGTTTCACTTTCAAAGGCATTTTGGGTCACGGTGAGTGATGTGCTTCGTTTTTACGGTCACGCGAAATGCAAGTCATTAACTGGATTTCGGGAGGGATCACACCAACAAATCAATCTCACACAGCCGTTCCTGATCGACGTCATCACGGAAATTAGTACCATCGAACAGCTCCATTCGCACTCGTCTCAAGCCTGTCTTCTCCCCTGCAGCAAGCTCCTATTTCACTCGTCCTGTGGCCATTAAATCAGACCGAATATTCCAAACATGCACAAAGCATTCAGTATTTGGATGCTAATGTCCCTATTGAACTTATACATTTGTTTCTATAAATAATACCAACATATTTTAAAGGATTAAAATCATATGTGATATGTGATTATAATAATAGAATAAACGGAGCCTTTTGTAAAGTGGTGGTGAGGTTTTCTTTGGTGGTGGCAATCTTAATTTGCATTTAGCAAATTAAAATCAAAGCCAGCTATTCGAGCTAGCATGAGGTTTCCGAGTCCTGCGTAAAACATCTATAATCCTACAGCTAAACGCGCAACACGTTTACTATCTTGTTTCCTTGTAATATGTTGAGCAATCTGTCCGATCAGCTGACATCTCTTGAGCAGAAAGCCGCTGTTGAGCTCCGCTCTGCTTGAAATGGACATCACCTCCCTCCGATTCGCAGAGGCTCCGAGTGGAGCGAGGACAGCTAGACAAGTCTTACCCATATATACGATCCGGAGTCACATGGTTTCTTAGGGACATTCCGTGGTGTAAGTAGTTCTGGCTTGAAGCCCAGAACTGGAAAACCCCTCAAAAAAGTCCCACCTGACGAACCTGATGGGAATTTCCCAGTGCTGCGCTGTGCATGTCCTGCTCGCTTTGCGCAAAAAAAACAAATGAAAAATTCTCATAAAAGTAACAAACCATCTCAAAGAAATGTCTTAAAATCTATACATTTAAAATGAATATAGACATTTTGTAAGATAAATGCATTTCAGCATTTTTTTTACATTTAAACGTAGGTTAGTGACGATATATAGGGCGCGTACGTTCAGAGCGATTTAACGATTTCTATAAACATAAGATAATGTGCCTACAGATATACAGGCAACGGGTAATCTTATGTTATGTATAGAACAATACATGACAGAGATTTTTGTGATTTCGCATTTTATGAAAGTTAAACCTAGACTGAAGTAATCTTTATTACTATGAAGATCTTGACCAAACGTTCAAGTTAAACATTTTACTGGGAGATAGATAGATCGCTTCTTTTAAAGGGGGCATCTGTATTGATTACAATTGTAACCTTTTCTCCAGTGACATATTTATATATGTATATCGCCAAACCTGACCACTTTTTTTCACCGATTTAACGCCGTGCTCTGTAAACTAATCCCTTTTACCAGAAACTGTAGTAGAATCAAGTTCCCTGAAAGCTTCGTGACCGTGCGGAATACATGGCGACATACAGTACGTTTGACTTAACCGCCTCAGTTAATGGGCAGACTGAGGGAACCGAGGGGAAGCTGCGAGGCGTTTGAGTTCGGTGTACTGTACACAGCTTCCTTCGTAATGATGGTGTTTACGTACGGCCGTGTAAGACTGACTTATCCCTCCCGAACTTCAGTTAATAACATCCATTTGTGATGTTACTTCTTGGTATTTCAACACAAGCTATTTTAGGAAGCTGGGAGTAGGGAGGGCTTTGATATATTCACTTGAAATATAGTTTCAACATATGGGGGAATCGTAAGGTCCAATTTAAATCATCTGACATCGGCCAGGTTTAGTTTTTCAGTCCATCAAGGTAAGGCATCAGCAGGTGAAAAACAGAGACAAATCGGTGTGTGAATACAATAGGTAGCACTTTATTAAATATATATACAACTTAGTTAAAGAAAATATTCTTATCATCCAGAAAAAGCACAGCTTGAGGATGATGTATTTCTATCATATATTACAATACTGTGAGCAGCTCATAATATTTTACTTTTATGGACAGAAATTAAAGGTTACAACAGCTCTGCTGGGGAAAAAAGCACCACTAGATTTAGATATTTTTTCTTGATATCGAAGCTCAATAGGATTGTTCCAATAACAAATTGCATACTCTGTGCTCTGGAAATAGTTTCTTTAAACCTTATGAACTTTGTTTAAAATGTACACCATAACCACAAATTTACTAGGAATAACAACATCCAAGAATAATGGATTATGGAGTGTTTAGTGAAAATTTGGCTTAACCCGCTTGGGTGAGGAAGAAGGCTCCATGGCCAAAAGGTTGTGTTTTCTTTCTTCTTTTTTTCAGCATGGAATAAACCTATTACTTGTTCCTTTGCAGCATACGCATGCTGATGCAGCTACCCACCTGAACTACTACAGTATAGTGTTTTAGGAGAGGAAATGAAGTCAGGACATCAATGACGCTAAATACTGACAGCTGAATCTGATTGAACTTGGCTGTCGTCATCCCTCCAGAACTCCATGTAAAATTGGACCTCAGTGCAATTTGAAAAAACAAAATTGGTCCAGACATTAAAAGTTACAGGTGTTGCAGGCACTTGGATAGATTCCTGCTAACATAACTGGGGGCTGATTTTCTGAGCACCAGTAGTAGTTGCACAAGTAGTTCCTATTTACGCTGATGCAGATCAGCAGATATGGTCTGCACCAGAATTGTTTGCACCTGAGAGCTGTTTATTACAAACATAATGCTGATGATGTAAACTGTGATGCATCAGTTCGTGGTCAACAACCTAACTACCTTCCTGGTTGCTGGACAAACATTCTGCACTTCAAGTTTCTTGTTCTATAATTGATGACACAATCTGTCCCTAGAATGGTCAACCGCACTTGTCAAACCAACTTCTTCAGGCATTTGTTTCATTAAATTGGTTTTCACTTCTTGTTTTTGTTGAGTGCCACTGACTCATGGTGACCCTATGGATATTTCCCCTCTCACTATCCATAGAGTTTTCATGGCAAGATACGGAAGTGGATTGCCAGGCCTTTCTTCCACACACGTACCTCCAACACCGCTCCCCCATACTGCCGCCGCCCAGTATGGGTTGTTAAAAACTCTTGCACCCGACGTGGGACACGAACCCACTACCCTGAGATTACGAGTCTAATGCAACAGAGCTAGGCTGGGCCCTTCTCCCTTACTTAAGGGCTCATTAAATCCTTAAACTGGTCCTGAAAATGCCTGATAATAGTAAATTTAAGAAATGTGGTTGAGAAGAGTGCAGTCACTTCCAGGTGGAAGAACTGTGTGTCAGTTTTGGAGCCAACAGTCACTTGTTTTTGCATCTTTTGGCCTTCAAAAGAAATCTATGGCTCTGGATGTGAGATGAAGGATAGATTGGTTTGCGAAACCTCTCTTGTTTTGTCTTCACATCGTTGCCATCTTCCTGAGGAGAGTACCGGTGGTAACGGCGGTTCAGCTTCATGTCAGTCACTCTGTCCTTCTTACTCATAGGTGGCAACGTAGAGTCCAGCATGTGGCTGCGTTTCCTCTATTGATAGAGCGGGCTTACTTGGTCCTGTGGGAGATAAATGTTAAGCATGTTACATTAAAGTGTTAACTGCAGAAAAATGTAAGTCTGATGAAAAAAAAAAATCACACAAAATGTCTACTGTGTTTTACCTTTTTGGAGTTGCACACATTCATGTTTTTCTTATCAATTAGTTTCTGTGTTGATTTTGCCATTCTGCTGCCCATGCTTTAAATCTGGATATGGCAGTAATTTTTATTTGTTTAAAGGGGAACTGCAGTCCTAATTTCGCAGGCTGGTTATTAAATCTCAGTAACAAAATAAACTTATTGACATAAATTCATTTTTTTCTAACCCAGAAACATAAAAATAGCATTGCAGGTCCTCCTTTAGTACTGCCCCCAGTGTTGAACTGACAGTGGTCAATCAGCTGGGCTCATACCAGCAGAAGGAAAGAGTTACCATGCCTCTGAAAGGCACCCCCAACAGAACAATCTCCACAGTGCCCACAGCAGCACTGGCACCTCATGGGAAACACGGGGCAATACTGCAGCCCTGACAAGTGCCTGGTAAGTCAGACGCGTCCCCTGAAGCAGTGTTTGCTCAGTTACATGTAATCACTTGGGGGAATCCCAGTCTCAATGCAGAATTGAAATATCTGGAGAAAAGTGACTCTATTGACTGAGGCTTTCAAAAACATCACTGTCCATGATTAGTGTTTTACCTTAACTACCTCCTGGCTTTACAGTTGCAGTATCACTGATCAAGGAAGCAAAACTCTCTTGAGGACAAGACTCTCCAAGCAATACAAGGCTGAAATCAACAACTGACTGATCTTTGTGAGGCAAAGCATTGTGTCATTAAATAGTAAGAGTGGGAGGGTCCCATCTCTGTTTCTTTTTGCAGTCGTGCACTAAATTGTTTCCTGGGTCAGGGGATACATGTGGATCTAAAGAATTTGTGTTCCACCAACAGAAATGTGTGGGACGGTGTGAGAAGTCATGATTCTGGCAAGGTCTAGCGCACTGGCTTCCTATCAAGTTTCGTGTCAACTTGACAATCCTCATGCTCATGCTCACGCTCACCTATAAGGCTCTGCATGGCTTGGCACCTGTAACGAACAGTTCTTTCCTGACCCTATGCGGATGATACAATCCGAAGAAGTGGGGAAACGTCATGCAGGAATACGGGGCTGAAGACAGGGGGGCGTGTCCAAGGTGCGCTGGTGCACGGGGGAGGTGTGGCCGTGGCGAACAATCCAAAAGAGTAATCCTTAGAGAGTATCCAAACAAATGGGTAAGTCCAAAACCAGGAGATCCATCAAAACACGGAATTAAAACCAGAGGCCGGGTCGGAACCGGCGGACAGGGAACGGGAACGGAGACGGAGATTAAAACCTTAATGGGACCAGGCGCTTCCAGGTCCCGAACTCGCACGGTACGGAAACCAGATGCAGAGCCCGGATGAGCGTCAGCGCCTGGCTTTTAAGGTGGGACGGGAATAGGAAACAGGTGCACAGAATAAAGTCTCAAGTGAAAGGGCTGGAGCACCCTTAAGGAGGGGGGACTATAATCGTGACAGCACCTCAGGACCTGTCTGAGTGATTTTCGCCCTACTCCCACCTCACAATCTTCGCTCCTCTAATTCTGGTCTCTTATCTGTCCCCCAAGCCCATCTACATTGTATGGGTGACACAGGGCCTTCTCCTGTTATGGCCCAAAACTCTGGAACTCCCAAGGATATCAGAGAGTTCTCTAAATTCCTTCAAATCAAGACTCAAAACTTTCTTCTTTAGAAGAGCCTTTACTTAACTGGTTCTGTTCTTTACCCATCTGTTCCTGCTGTATTTAGTACCACCTTCTACTGTCTCTTCTGTGTATTCTCACCATGTTTTTGTCTAGTGTTATTTTTATTGTTGTTGTTATTCTGTAAGTGAGAGGCCACCTTAAAAGGTGTTATATAAAAGTTTTATTATTATTTTATTATTATTATTATGGACCAATTAGCTCTATGTTTCCCTCTTTGGAGGGAGCCCCTTTATGAGCCTGGGAAGGTTACACAGCCTTTACACTGGTCTCCCAGTTAACATCCCTTTGAAAAGAAGGTGGAATCGGAGGACGCTCATTAGCCTTCAGTCCCCTGGGCTATCTAAGTGATGATTCCAGAATTGGTCTTTCCCAACAGGGAAAACAATTGGAAAATAAGATGACTAGGATTCATTCAAGAAACAGAATACCATCACTATATTGATGTTGCTTCAGATGACAATAAGGTTGTAGGTCACAGATGCTGGAACACCATATTAAAAAGACGCCAAAATGGGTTTGAAACATGTTTTTTTTCTTTTCAAAATTCAGCTACCAACTGACAAGTTTCTGTACATCCTTAACTATAAGAGCGTGTTACCTCTTTTGCGCTGATGAATATTTGTCTCCCTGTTGGCTTTCACGCTGAATAGGAGGAGGCCCAGAATTATGACAAAGAGAAGAGCAGCCAAGAGATAGTAGTGTTCATCATGGCAGGTGGCGTCATTAGCACCTACCAGGCAGAGAAGAATAACGTGTATTCTTCAGTGCAATAACTGTTAATAAACCTTGACCTTTACATCAGGGATTCCCAAATTTGGGCCTCGGGGTCTAGATTCCACTAGGTTTTCTATGTCTCTTTAAATCATCAACATCTTAAGGCTGTGGAGAAAGGATTAATTGGTGTGGTTTTACCTTAACTTGATCAATTTCTCCCAGGAGAAAAGATGTTGATAATTTATGGAGAGATGGAAAAATTGCTGGATTCTGGGTTCAATGGACAAGAGTTGGGAACCCCTGGAACAGGCTGTTACATTACACATCTAAGGTGGGGCTGGGCTGTCAGGTTCTGGTTCTGGATATCTGGTGTGTCCGTAGTTTTTTTTTATCAATGGAGTTGTAAAACAGCAGTTCTGGAGGAGAGCAACTTGTAATCTCACACTTCTGCTTTCGTTTGCATAAATATCTCACCTGTTAAGCACCCTTTGGGTACATCTTTTCTACCTCCCTCCCTCCTTCCACCCCATCTTCACTTTTGCAGCTGCCTCCCTGGTTCATTCCTTGCAAGGAGAGTGGGAGGGTATCGGAATTGAAGTTATGGCCAAGGCTGTCATTTCCTCACTCAGACAAGTTAAAGCAAAACACTAAAATATTAAGCACATCCTCGTGTGGTGTCATAATATGATCCAGCTACTGAAATAATAATTCCTTGCTTTTACACCATGGTTTTCATCCCAAAGTGCTTTATATGTAAAGAGGGGACTAACGTCAGTCACCACTGAAATGCAGCCCCACCTGGGTGACTCACGGCAGCTACTACACAGCAGGTCTCTTCAAAGAAGAGCCCATAAGGAGCTGAGAGAAACTACTAAATTGATTATTTAAGTACCCTAAGAGATGATTCAGCCTGTAAAAGAGCTGAATGAGACGGAAAAACTACAGACCAGATCTCCAGGACCAGGATTCAACAGTTCCGATATTACAAAATCATTTAAAAATCACAAAAAGGCTATTACCTGTTGTATTTTCATTTTGCAAGTGTAAGTGAAAATTCTGAAAAAAAAAAACATATTAGTGAACATATTACATATTCGTTTATTATTCATAAATACAGTTTTCTAGTATTATTTTTGTCATTTGTTTTAACATCAAAATACACATATTACTT